CCAGGGCTTTTTTTTATAGCAGGGACTCCTTTGCATGTTAGGCCACACACCCCTAACGTAGCCAATCCTAATGAGTTTCTGCTGTTGGGTGTGGCCTATTATGCTAATGAGTTCCTGCTGGGTGTGGCCAACTCGGGAGCCAGCCAGAACTCCGTTCCTGTGCGTTCCTGCCCCAAAATAGCCCTGCGTCTGGCCCTCCTGGGTCCTAAAGACGCCAGGCTGGCTTCAACCAGGGCCAGAGCCTTCTCAGTGGCGGCTCCGTGCTGGTGGAATGAGCTCCCGGAAGACAGTAGGGCCCTGAGGGACCTCTTACAGTTCCGCAGGGCCTGCACGAAGGAGCTTTTCCACCAGGCATTTGACTAGGGAGCCGCACTTCATAAATGTAAGACCCTGCGCCCTAATACCATCATCGACAGCCTGTGCTCCGCCGTCATGAATTGGACTGAGATGGCAGTCCCAACATCAAATGCTGACCGCAGGCTTACTGTAATGGATTGCTACTAATACCTCGCCACTGTTCGGACAAACGACTCACTAGCACTTTAAGATGATGGATTTTATATTTATACTTGCTTTGTTTTATCTTTGTTTTAAACTCTGTTTTATAACTCTTATGTAAGCCGCCCTGAGCGGCTTCGGCGGGGAGGGCAGGGTATAAATCAAATAAATAAATAAACTCATGAGAAAAGAAAGCTAGGAGCCTCAAGACCGTCCACCGGCTTTGGGATGAGTGTAGGACCCGGGTTTGATTCCCCGCTCTGGCAGGGCAGCTCGCTGGGAGACCCTGGGCCGGTCACTCTCCCGCAGTGCGATCGGCCTCGCCCGGAGTCGGCAGCCCTAGAGAGACGCCGGTCAGGCTGGGAGCATTTGCATCTTGGAGGAACCAACCCGGGACCCTGAGAGTCTAACTAATTCAAGACTTTGCCCTGTAGGAAGGATGCAGCCGCCCGGAGCCGGGACTAAAAGGTCTTGGCCTGGGCCCCTGCCTGAAACTGGCCCAAAGCCCGGGTTGACGAGATAATGGGAGAATGGACCGCCTGGCCAGAGCTGGACTGCTAATGGCATGAGTGGGCTAATACGAGAGTGACCTCACTGAAATTCCTGGTTGCTCGGTTGTCTCTCTGCTGGAGATGGGGGAGGATGGGAATGGGTCCTGGGTTGCCATGGGTTGGGAGATTCCTGGAAATTTGGGGATGGAGCCTGGGGAGGACAGGGACCTCGGTGGGGTAGAATGCCATACAGTCCACCCTCCAGACAGGGGTTGCCAAACGTGGCCAATGTAAGAGCCACATAGAATAAACCCCAGATGTTTGAAAGCCTCAATAATGCAGATCAATTGTAATTCCGGATCTCCAGGTCCCGCCTGGAGGCTGGCAACCTTTAGTCCCACGGTATGTCGTTATGGTTTATCTTGCTTTTCCATGTCCACCAGTGATTGTTGTTTGTTAGTTAATATTTGCAACTTAATTATCTGTTCGTTGTTATGATTACTTAGCAGACACGCGGAGGCAAAATGGCTGGATAATTGCTGTATAAATTAATACATTATTAAACTGAATTGTTATGTTACATTTTATACCAAAAATACATCACCGTTTGAACTAATTAACATCCATATAATGCATAATGTTAAATTCAGACATTCTAATTGATTTTTTTTAAAAAGAGCAGTTATCTTTTGTCAAACAAAATAGTGAAAAATCCTTATTATAGGAGAAAAATGCCCAAATCCTGCTTTCGGGAGTTAGCCCATGGAATGGGCAGGCACAGAGCCTCTATAAAACGCAATGAGATAGTACAGTAAGCTACAAGGTTGAGGAACGGAGAAAGCAGGGGCAGGACCCTAGTTGGTAATAATCAGCATTTAGGATTGGACCCAGAACTGCTTCGGTCATCAGGAACGATCTTGGGTGACCAAAAGTGCACTTCCTGTCGCCCATACCAGTAAGCAATCTTACTGCAGCATTTTGTGCTAGAAGAAGCTCTGAAACAGTCTTCAAGCACTGCCCCACAAAGAAGAAATTGCAGTAGTCTAGCTTGGGTGTGCTCGCGTGCATCAAGGTGGCACGCACCGTGCCTGTCTAGGAAGGAATCGTGATGGATTCCTTGGGCCCCAACGTGCTATTCTCTTCAGCATCTCTTTTAATACCTTAAATTTGACCCTCATGGGTAAACTGGACTTCCCTCTGTTTCCTTCTTCCTGGCTCCCCCTTCAGAGCCCCCAGTCTTTTCTCATCCACCCTCAAATCCTTTTGCTGTCCTGTTTTACCCCGTTTCTAAGAAGGGAGGGTCCGTGGCTCACTGGCAGAGCTCACGGGGCACCTGACTCAATCCCCAGCATCCCCAGTCAAAGGATTTCTGGGAACAGGCTTGAGAGGGACGGATCAGCCGGCTTCCAGCTGGTAATGTGAATCGACTGTCCTGGGCTGAACTGATCAATGGTCTGACTTGGTAGAAGAAGGAAGAAGAAGAAGAAGAAGAAGAAGAAGAAGAAGAAGAAGAAGAAGAAGAAGAAGAAGAAGAAGAAGAAGAAGAAGAAGAGGAGGAGGAGGAGGAGGAGGAGG